ATACATACATACATACATACATACATACATACATACATACATACATACATACATACATACATACATACATACATACATACATACATACATACATACATACATACATACATACATACATACATACATACATACATACATACATACATACATACATACATACATACATACATACATACATACATACATACATACATACATACATACATACATACATACATACATACATACATACATACATACATACATACATACATACATACATACATACATACATACATACATACATACATACATACATACATACATACATACATTACATACATTACATACATTACATACATACATACATTACATACACACATTGCATTGCATTGCATTGCACTGCACTGCATTGCATTGCATTGCATTACATTACATTCATAAATACAGCCAAACAGACAGACATACAGACAGACAGACAGACAGACAGACAAACAGACATACACACATACATACATACATACATACACACATACATTGCATACATTACATACATTACTTTACATTACATTACATTACATTACATTACATTACGTTACATACATCCCTACATACATGCATACATACATACATACATTACATACATACATACATACATACATACATACATTACATTACATTACATTACATTACATTACATTACATTACATTACATTACATTACATTACATACATACATTACAAACATACAGACATACAGTGCATACAGTACATACATACATACATACATACATTGCATTACATTACATTACATTACATTACATTACATTACATTACGTTACATACATACATACATACATACACATACATACATACACACATACATACATACATACATGCATGCATGCATACATTACATTACATTACATTACATTACATTACATTACATTACAGTACATTACATTACATTACATTACAGCATGTATACATGCATACATACATGAGAGGGACATTGGGGAGAGAGAGGCTTGGGGGGATGGGGAGGATGGGGAGCAGAGGGGGGAGTGAGGACGACAAAACACACAAGGGAGACAAGGGAGAGAGGAAGAAGGAGAAAAGCGAAACATCAATGTCGGCGGACTGAGCCGGAGGCTCTAAAGTTTCCTGCGCCGCTCAACCCCCTGGTTCATTCCTTGCAGGAGTCCACCCAAGAAGTCCGACGCGGGCAGGACCCGCAAACAGGTCTATAGCCGAGAATACCAAGGCCACCGAAACATACGGGCCGCCAAGGAGGAAGCACTAGCCTGGCAAAGAGTACTGCAATGCACATGGCACGTGGGGCTGGTCTTGTTTGGGGTTGGGTGCGGCTGTCTGACTGATTGATGTGTCCTCCCCTCAAAAAACATGGCTACCTCCACCTCGATGAGTCAGATGCATCAAAACTGATCAGCAATTAGCGCATGCAGCAAGTGTACATAGCAGCCCGTCGCGGCATCGCTGCTTGCAAACGAAGGTCCATTCTCAGCAAAGCAGGGTCATACGAATTTGTGGCAGAAGATACTCTGAGACAAGGTGAAGGGTTATGCTGAGCTGATCCGTCTTGAGCCAGTCTCAGATCCAAAAACCGGCAGATTGGCAACTGCAATCAACATGAATTCCAGAGTCAAGTGTTGGGCGCGGCCCACCGTTTTGTTAGTGTATAACCGCAAGGACCTGATTGCATTCGGGCACAGACCTGGTTACCTTGCAAGGCGATGTTTTTTTGAGCCTAAAGTTAACTATTGTTGATGCGTTTGCTAAAGTTTTTGGGGGTGGAACAGAACACCGGCATCGGATTGCCAACACCGGCAGAAACGCGAGCAGAGACGGCACTGTAACTGTTGTCGTGTACAGGAGGAACACAATTGTCACCATAGAAGGAATAAACCCCCGAGTCTCAGACATCATTTATGCACCTAGCTGCCAGCCGATACCGCTTTAACGGCACCGCACATTTTGCAAATGACCCCTCCCAGTCTGTCTGATGTTAACGGCAAACAACACATTGTTTTAGATGTCAAAAGCTTTTGCCAATACTTCTGCGAATATTAGTGTCTTTCATAATCTCAAGGATTGCTTTTCCAACAAGAAAGAAGCAGGCAGCCAGGAAAACATAGTGTTTCATGTTGCTGATATCAAAGTTTGAGCTCAGAAAGTGTACCCCCCGTTCAAGGCTGGCCCCCCTCGGTTCTTGGTTGTCCAACACAAATCGCCTCATGCGCCCGGTGGAAGACTCGAAGACCCAGGTTACTTGCACTGGATCTAACCGCGACTGCTTGAAAAAGCATGTGGCTGACTTTCCGAGGGGACCGCTCTTCTCTAGCCTGGAATTAGGACCCCAACAACAAAAAACATGCCTGGGGAAAACAAAGTCATTTCAGCGCCAGGCTCTCAGGATTTGCCCTTACTGATGCTCCTAGAGGATGTCCCGCCAAACCTGGTCCACTGATCTCACGCTTGCTCAAGACCTTCTTCACATTCGGGGGTTCCAGGTTGAGTGCGCTGATTGTTGACTGGCTCTCCATTGCGTCCATCGGAGGCCGCGAACAATCCGGACAACCTGCTGTGAGCCTACCCAAACGCGGCTTCCGGGACAAAGTGCTAAACAATTGCACATGCTTCATCAATCACTTCAGCGGCCGGTGACCCAAGAATCAAGCAATTGTGTCACCCAAAAAATATATGAATGGGTGAAAGCCGCATGATCTGAGTGCAAGTTCGAAGAATTGCCTTCGCCATACACAAAAAGGGATTCTTCGTCTGGAGGAAAACCAGTCGTTTGACCCTACACGGGGCTGTCATGACTATATGCAGGTTCAAACAATCTGGTTGCTGCAGCGGGATTGGACCCAAGCAAAGAAAGCTCCAACGTCAAGCAATTGACAACCGCGAAGCATGTTTAATAATGTGTGACACGCAGCCATCAGCTGAGTCCCTCAAATGACAACGGTTTCACCTTGAATTCTTCATCGCAGTAAGGCGTACAACAACTTGGTTGACGTTGGAAGGGGAGCAAAAATTATCAAATTTTAGCAGCTAAGTGGGGATTTCCCATTAAACCACAATAAGCAAAAATATAAAAACTAAGTCTCCCAACAACAACCATGACAAATGCTTGGCGTCATTCATCGAGACCCCTTGCCTCCCGACCCGAGCGAGACGCCTTCGGATCAATCAACACCTTCCCCAGCGAGTCACCCCATTCTCAAACACCGCCAAACTTAAAACGGAGGTCTTGTTGAGGGTACCCTGTTTTGGTGGGAAACAAGAAGGAAAACTGAAGTCCCCTAAAACAATTACACCAGCATAGACCCCAGATAGCAGTGCTTGCACACACACCCAAACAACGCCCCAAGCAGAACCCGGCCGTCAATCGAGCAAAAATGTGCCCGCACCATCACCCTGAACAGCACCCCAAACAGCACCCCTAACAGAATCCCAAACCACCACCTAAGCCGCATGCCCCTTGCACCCTACCGTCAAGATGCAAATATGCGCCTGCACCGTCACCTGCATGACCGATAGCGCCCGAGCGTCAATATAGCAAAAATGCGCCCGCACCGTCACCAGCACCTCAAACAGCTCCCAACAAACTGCGTCCCACGGAACCATCAGCACCAGCGCCCCAAACTGCGATCCCCCCTGCGTCCTATCGTCAACATGCAATTGCGCGCGCACCGTCACCCGCTAGAACAGCACCTGCACAAGCACCCAAAACTGCATGCCCCCTAGCACCCTACCGTCAATCTTTAAAAGATGCGCCCGCGCTGCCATCAGCACCTCAAACAGCACCCCAATAGGCACCTACACCAGCACCTCAAACTGCACACCCCCTAGCACCAGCCCATCAATCTCGCAAATCACTTTATTAGAAGCTAGAACCCCTATAGCTTTCAGCCACCTGGGGAAAAAGGCACCCCCAAACGGAGCCAGCGGGCAGGAACACGTTTGGAGGGCAGAGTATGCGGGCGCGAGCGAAAGGTCACGAAAGGCTTGGCAGTTCCATCCCCAAGAAACCCTCAGGAGTTCCATCAATGTGAACCCCATATTTCACAAAGCGGTTTATGATTCTGGGGGTTCCCTGGGTGACCACCGTTCAGAAACCATGGAATGAGTCGATTCCCCAACGTAAATACCAACGAACAATGGTTTCAACCATGGCTTCCAAGTGGTGCGAAATGGATTTCGTTTATCCACAGTATTTCACAGCCAAGCGGTTTATGATCGTTTATGATTCTGGGGGTGCTGCTCCCTGGGTGGGGGGGAATCAGGCCACTTTAGGGCCAACACGACCCCCTATTCATACACTGCTTGGTTGGATAGTATGGGGTCAACATGAACTTCAGGCTTCAAACGGGCCAATGAGGATTCCCAGATTCACAAACCAAACCTGCGAGGGTAGATACCAAAGTTGTGTTCAGCTGGGTGTTTCTCCGCTCTGGGCCGGTTCCTCCGGGTCGGTGGTTTCCTTTGGGCTTCCGAAAAAGAAAAAGCGCCTCGCTTCCCCAGTTTCCCCCCCAACCCCGTACCTGAACCCTCAAAATTCCCTTAAAAATGGGTTTGACCCCCAAAATTATGGGGTGATATCCCATTTTTATGGGTAGGTTGAGGGTCCAGGTAGCTCCAATTGGGGCGTCACTTGGCGCGGTCTGCGGTTGGGCAAGGGGGTGGTGTCCAGAAAAAGCTTCCAGGGACGGATCGATCCCAAGGCCGGATGGTTCCGGGCTTGGAGGCACCCCGAAGATTTCCGGATGCAACGTGAGATAACGTTTAGTGGGTGAAATGGGACATTGCCGCTAAACAAAAACAAATATGTAAAACGGAAGAAGGAACCGGATGGCTGGGATCCACCAAGAAAAAGATCCTGGACAAATCCAACCCTCTTGGTTTCCGTTGGGAAATTGACCGAAACTCCAGCCATCCGTTACAAAGCCAAAGCGACGAGTATGTTGACCACAGCACAAAGCGGGCAGCACACCATGCCTTGGACTCGTGCCACGAAAAGAAGCTGTGGCAGGGCCTGGTCGGTTGCTCAAACGGCCAGGCGTCCCCTTCAATCACCTCCCAAGCAGAAATTCACTTGCAATTGGCAGCCAAAGGTGGTTTCAACCACCCAAACAGTAACATATCGGGAGCCCACAAGCAAGCTTGGCTTTAAATGGCGTTTCGCCAAATCTGGCACGACACAGCCGAAAAGAGGGTCCCTACTTAGAGAAAAAGCTGTTTGGGGTGTCTCGTGTCTCCACATTGCGGCACCAAGCAAATGAAGTAGCCTTGTTCATTGCGGAACATGCAAAACACGAATCACCACACAATTGCACGAACGTATTGCCTGAGCACGGCCCAGTTCCAACTTGTAATCCCCTTCTTACAGCTTCAAATGATGAAAGGGCCTTCCAACGAAAACCACGTGTTTGCCAACTCAACGAATGACGGTGTCAGTAAAGGAACAGCAGTCGCGCGACATAGCTGCTAGAATGCAGTGTGTCACTCGGTTGACTCTTTCAAATGGTTAGGAAAATCAGACGAGACATGCCACAAGAAATAACAACTACAAGTACCAGCGATAAAACTCCCTCTGGACATCTGCATCATTGAGAGTTAAACAGTGTCAAGCTGCCGTCCAAAAGCGTATAACCTCAACGGATCCTCCTGGCAAAAGAACAACGGTGAACAAAAATGGACTTCTTGAAAACGAACCCCTAAGAACTATGTAACATGTAGCTGCACACGGCTGGCACACAGCCACCAAGGCGGGAGGGTTTTTTTAAAGAAGATTGGCTGCAGTGCATAACTCACATGCGAACAACAAGCAGAAGCGGACAAATTTTGTCCAAAAGCGCCTGCAAATTCAGTGCGGATGGAAACTCTGGGAAACCAAGCACATATTCTTCCAAGGGTTGCCAAGAGCCCCCCGAAAAGGGCATTAACCCCAATCCCAATATGGGCAATGGTAGAATCGCATTCTGGAACCCTTGAGCATGCCACGACCGCAAAGCGTTGACAACCATTGCAACCTCTGGGCCAAGCTCTGACCTGCAAAGTCGCAGCTGGTTGCTGGTTGAAACGAAACATGAAGAAACGACAACAAGCCAAACAACCCTTAGTCTGGCAATGTATGTACCTGGACCCTCAAACTACCCATAAAAATGGGATATCACCCCATAATTTTGGGGGTCAAACCCATGTTTAAGGGAATTTTGAGGGTTCAGGTACAACCCAACTCGACCCCAGTGCAGTACCTTCCCCAGCGAAGCAAGCCGGCTGGACAGCAACGAGGGCCGTTGCAACGGCGCGTCTCGCCATGGCGTGTGTTGCCATGCGCGCGCACGCAAGCTGGGGAATGTAATGCAGGTGTACCGCGGGATGCCAAGGCTGACACTGCTGACACATTCATTTCCGCTTGGTCAGGAGACGGTTGAGCTGAGAAGTTAGAGACCTTGAAGGACTCAGATGCCCAGTGGCCGTGGAAAAAACGGGCATCCATTTTTGTTGGTTGGTTGAGTTTAAAGGGGAACCCTGGCAAAAAAAAGGGCGCCACTGGGCAACAGAGAGGAAACAACACAGCATTTACACGTTGAATCTGTGGCCAGAACCTTCGCCACGTAATATCTTTGATGCCCCGCACTTTGGTTGCAGTGAACATCCGCTGAACATTCCCAAGGATGATGATGCTTCGAATGAGTGGCCCAGGCACCACACAGCTAATGCAAGGGGTTGAACCACCTGAAAAGATGTGGCCCTTCGGTGAACACCATTTAGGTTGGGATCCGTGTCCGCCAACCACTTGTGAGGTGGCTCCCTATCAACACACCATAGCCATATGTGGACCCTGGAACGGTGTCCAGTTCTTGCCGCATTGTCCTTGTTGCCTTCTTGCGCCATGTGCTGTGCTTGAGGAGCAAAGCTGCGGCAGCGCTGCCCAACGTGCCCAAACAAAACAAGTACAATCAGAAGAGAATTGCTCAGCGGAACGCTTGCCGTGGCCATCTGCGCACAATCTGCTTTGTGTCAAGCATGTTGTACAAAGAAACACACCACACTAAGCAACAAAGAAAGAACCTCCACCTGCATTTGCAGTAGCCATGAAAAAAAACACGATCCGCATTAAAAGCAAACCTTAAGATCCTGGGGATCGGGGAGCGAAACGGCTTCGGCCATCAGTCGCCCAGCTTGGACCCAGAAAGGAAACCAACAAACCAACAACTGTGGGTGGACGAAATCCGCTTCGCGCCACTTGGATGCCATGGTTGAAACCATGGTGCATTAGTATTTACAGGGGAATGGAATCATTCCTAGGTTTCCTAGGTGGTGCGAAATGGATTTCGTCCATCCACAGTAGGTCCTCCAGTGAAGAGGTTAGAATGAGGGTACCCCTGTTTTTTGGCTGTCGTCTATTTCAGTAGGGGAACCCTCCCCCAAAAAGGAAACGGTAAAAGGGCACCTAGCTGGAAGACCTAGCCAAGCCAAAAAAACAACAAACCAATAAGCCAAAAAACCAGCAAGCCAACAAACCAGCAAACCAACGAGCCAACCCAACCGGGGAACAAAAGGCCGTTCAAAACGAAAACTGAGATGTCCTTGTTGATTTGCGCCTGCTGATTGACCTGATGCTGTGGATGGACGAAATTATTCACCACCTACCAAACCCTGGCCTGTACCAACAAGCAATGGCTTCAGGATTCAACCATGGCTTCAAAGTGGTGCGAACGGATTTCGCAAGCATCCACACTAGGTCAAAACCAGACACGTGTGGGTATGGCTCAAATTAAAGAGCTCCGGTTACGCGGGTTTTAGTCTTTGGCTCCATTTACCAGGGTGCCTTTTTGGCACCACTTTCTTGAGCCACACCCATATCCATCTCACACATAGAACATGCGGCCAATGGGAGGAAAAACCGCTGGTGGCCTCCAAGCGTTCGATCTGCGCTTTCAGCAGAATCTGGCGCCGTGGGTTTGGATTCCAAGTGCGGAGGCTTCGTTTTGGGCCACCCCCCGACGCCCGCAACCCCAAGAAATCGTTACTGATGAAGAGAAACTAAAAGACCAAAAACCGGCCAACAAACTAACTAACAAACAAAGAAACAAAACCAACAAACGGACAAACCCGAAAAACAACAAACGAACAAACCAACAAACAAGCAAACCAGGAAACCAACAAGCCGACAAGCCAACATACCAACAACCAACAAACCAGCAAACCAACAAACCGACAAACCAACAAGCCAACAGGCCAGCAAACCGGGGGGGGGGGGGGGGAGGAAAGAACAAACACAAAAAACGCAGCACACAGCAACAGCAACAGCAACACCAGCAGCAACAACAGCAAAATCGATCATAATGTGTTGTCGGTCCCGGAAGAACCTAGTGAGGGGGGTGGTTCAAAAAGTTAAGGTGCGGCCTCTAAACTGGAAAGAACAGGTGCAACTGAAAACCCAGCAATTGAATGAATTCTCATTGAGCGGGCTGCCTTCCTTTGGGGTTTGACCCTTTTGGGTGCTAAAGACGAAAGAAATGAACCAAACTCCAGGACGAAAAGCAGGACCCACTGACCTCCAGACAATTGGCTCTGATTTCTGGGCTCCTGGCTGGTTCCAGCTCAGATCCAGCTGGCGCAAGTCCTCGGCTTCTTCGTTGCTTCCGCCGCCGGGCTGCGCGACAACGTGCCGCAAAAGCTCGGAGGGTCAATCCGCTGAAGTGGGTTGTGTTCAGCATAGAAGGGGAAGTAACCCTGATTCATCCAATTCACCATGGCTACCTACTCACTCAGTGAAGATCCAAGAACAAGACCACGTCGGAAATTTAGGGTATTAGAGGAATGGAACCATTCACCTTGTTCCCCCAATGGCCCTTTGAGCGCCCCGAAAGGGAGAACAATTGGATATTAACGTCTCGTTTTTGGTCCCAAATCCCTCCCAAACAATGCCACCGGCGCAACCGGGCAGAACTCGGGAGATTTCGGCCTGGCATGGTTGCTATACTCAAAATACCCGCTTTTGTCAGGGTATTGTTGGGAAAACCTGTTTTTTTTTATGGTGAATACCTCTTTTTTAGTGGAGGGTCGACATGATACCCTGAAAGAAGATGGTATTTGGAGTCGGGGGTGTGCATTCAAGGACAAAACATCCACGGACCGCGATTGGATCCCGGCTTGCCAAAGGACTTTTCAAGGTGGATTCTCCGGAAATTGCGAGTGGACCAACCACATCCAACCGCCAAACGCTGATAACTGGTGCTTGTTTTGCAACTAAATCAATCGGGTGATTGTCGGAGTGCCCCGGCGACAGCTGTCAGGCAGCTGGGTCTTCCCAGTGGATCGTTAATGCGTGGCACACCTGCACATCCTCCTTGACCGTGAGATCCATCTGCCGCAGGTGATCCATCATCCGCGGTCGGAGAATGTTGATAACCCACTCATAGAAAACCGTGTTGCCCATTGAAACCCGTTGGGGTGCATCCAAGTCCTCCAGATTCTGAGTGAAGTACCACCCCCTCAGCACCGGGTCGCAGCGCAAGTCCCGCAGGCACCTGAAGTACATCTTGTCCCCCAATTCGAAGCCTTGCGCTTCCAACTGAAAGTCGTACCTATAGGTCGCCTTGCCCTTGCTGGCTTCCACCCTGCTCCTTGCCAAGGCGATGCTCGACATCTGCTCCACAAGCAGCGCCAGGGCTCGCTCATACTCCTCGACGTCCTCTTCTCGCTTCTGGCGCTTGCGAGGCACCGCAGCCTCCGGCAGCTCCTCCAGCCAGGCCGCGTTCCGGCGCTCGCACTCCTCCGCCCGCGCGTGCGCGGCGGCGCTCAGCTCCGAGAGCTCGGCGCCCAAGGTTCGGGACACCACCGCCGTGAGGGACAGCGAGGCTCCTTGGCGAAATCTGCGGGCCCCGGCTCAAAGCTGAAAACTCTTAGTGGTTTAATACGGAAAACCCATTTGTTGGCAAAAGAAGTTAAAGTCCTAACATCCCTTGGCAAAATGCACCCAAGGCTCCACCGAGCTCTGCGAGGCTTGCGCTCGGCGCTTCTCTCCCTGCAGCAAGCGCCAGGGCCCCGCACCCAGCGCGCCCAGCCGGCGCTGAAGGGCCTCGACGGTCTCCGCGCCGTCCACCTCGACTGGGCCCAGCAGCTCATCGCCGCTGAGGCCCCGCACGGTGACCAGCACCATGGTGCTAATTTGTGCTAATGGGACCTGACGGCTCCGGGATGATCACTAACGCTAGGTTTCAGAAGCTTGTGGTGCACGAGGTTTCCAAGTTGACCCCTGTTTTGCATATGGCTGTGGCCCAAAAAACCGGAATTCCAAAATGGAACCCTGGTAAGTGCAAACATGGGCCAAAACCTGCGGTTTGCCCCTCCAATCGTTTAATTTTCAGCCACACCCAATTTTCCAACCAAAGATACCGAGGCCCAAACCACCCAAAACTCACCGGGCCTTTCTGGAAAACCTGGCACCACGGACGCCATCCATTCCACCGAGGCCCAGAGCAAGGGGCCGTTTTTTCTCCATTGCGCGCAGTAGCTCAAAGTGAGGTACTCCTTTTTTTGAATTGCTCCGCTTTTTGCTCCGCTTTTTGAATTACTGTTTCTTCCAAGAAGATCAAAAGGATCCCGAGTCCCCGGGCCGGAAAAGACACCAAGGCGTTCACCTTGTGGATCAGGTTATGCGCCACATCCTCAGGGCCGGGCCCCTTCAAACCAGGCGCTGGCTACATCCTAATTGGGTGTCTTTTTCGATTGTGCGCCCTTTTGGAGAGGGAACCCAAAAGGGAACCCAACAGGGAAACCGAAGCTATTGTGGGGGTTTCTGAAGGTCCATGTAGCGCCTTGAAGAATCCTGCTGAATCTGCAAAGGAGGCGAAGGGCTGGTTGCTGCCGGCGCCGC